CCCACCTCCCATTGCTGTCCAGGCAGCTGGACTCAGACCAGTGCTGTGACAGAGAAGCCAGCATTGCCGAGCAGTGGCTTAGCCCACTGTGCCACGGCACCGGCCCTGCGTATCTCTGTAATCTCCATCTGGTTTCTTGTACATTCTATATCCATGTAGACTTTGTAGTTTTGTATTTGTTTCAAGACAATGCGTAACCAGTTGTGAAAAATTTTTATGATGGGCCCTTTGGAATCCTAAGGTAATTCCAACATCTGATGACTGATCACCTCTTCTCACTTCCTGGTTCCTGCAATGATGAGTGATTTTCACTTGTGCCCTTGGCTCCGTGTCTATCCTTAGGAGCCTGTGACTTCTCTCAAATCTTCTAACAGGCAACACCCTGTTTCAGTTTGGTGCCCAGGTGCAGCAGAGTTGTGGTAGTGTTTGGATTGCTTGGTTTCTCTGGCATTACCCCCCCCACCACCACCACCACAAGGCCACCTGATGCTTCTTGTCTGGGAAGGAGACCTCAGGCCTACAGGGACCAAGATTTGTCTGGGGGCACCCATGGAAGACAGGGTGGGGGTGCTATCCGTTGGTGCTTTGAAGCCACCCTAGGGTCTCCGATGGAGTCTCAGGCCCTGGCTGGGCAGAGGGTTTGGGCCAGGTGCTGTCTGGCATGGGGAAGGCAGTCCCAGGCCTACAGGCAGGCTTCCAGGCTTGGCTGCTTGCTGTGGCAGAGTCTGGGCATGTTTTTCTGTCTACAGCGATCTGGGGCTTTGTATGGGACACACTTTGGACTGCAAGGGCTTGTTTCTAAGATTCTTGGGTGGGATGAGCAGTGTTTAGGGTTCGTTTCCCTGTTTCTGAGTCGGTCCCCTGCTGAGCACTGTGACAAGGCTTGCCACTCTGGCTCTCTAGAACATGGACCTTCCCTCGGGCAGTGGTCTCGCAGCACACCCTCGGGGGTTAGCCGTGGACTGGGCCCTCTGCACTCCTCCGAGAAGCCTGTGCTGTGTGCACTCTGCCCCACTCCAGCTCTCTCGCCTCCATCTCCAGTACGACAGCCAGCTGGCTTCCACCCGCATCTCTGTTCTGAGATGTGACCCTCCTCACTCAGGGACCACTGTCCTGCCCTGATGTCTACACATATTGTCAGGGGTTTGCTTGCTTCAGATGAGAGTGAGTCCTGTCCCTGTCACTCAAGCTGCGAGCACTCTGCCCTCTGACGGTGTTCGGGTTTTCTTCTGCGTTCTGGGGCAAGTCCTGTTCATCCGCATCGTCGGCCCACGTGGTCAGCCCTGCCCAGTGCAGCTGTGGACAGTACTGGTGGTTTTGTTTTCATGTAGCCTGTTTATAGCTTCCTCTGTTCTTTTCACTTTAGCCGCTGTCGACTTGGGACCTTCTAATTCTGGGTCAAAGGTGAAGTTCACTGCATTGTCCTAAATACATGGATTTTTCCCTCTAAGGTTTTTTGATTCTGTACTTCTTTGCCAGAATCAGGCTTATCCTGTCTCCTGGGTATTGTTTCTTCTTTTTCTTCGGTGCGACATCTTCCCCAGCTTGGTTCCGGCACCCACCTTCAGGATGCCTGCCCGAGCAGCCTTGCCTCTGAGGCACAGTGCTCTTCAGCCCGTGTTTGCTCCACACTAACCGTCCAGGCACTGCAGAGGGCCCAGAGAAGGCCTGGCACTCCCGGTGCCGAAGGACACCTGGGAGAGGCAGGAATGCTCCGGTGAGCGAGCGTGGGCCTCACCCGTGGTGCACCCGGAAGCCTGGAAAGGATGCCTCCTCCATCAGCGGCGGCGGCGGCGCTGGATTCAATCCTGAACCCAGCCCGTGGGAAGCTGTGCGTCTTGGGAAAGTGGACTTCACGTCAGCATGTGTGCGCACTCCTCTGGGGCCAGGGTCCTTGGGCCAGTGGCTGCCTGGGCCAGGCACAGGGGAAGACATGGCATGGTCCAGGGTGTGCTGACACCTGGCACAGTGGGGGTCACCACGCTCTTTCGCTTGTCTTGGTCTCTCCCAGGTATGGGCCAGCTCTTCCCTTGTCTACTGTTTCTGTCATCATTACTCCCTGGCAAGGCACGCAGCTCGGGGCGTGGATCTGTGCAGCCATCGGGCTCCCCTGCGCCTCCTCCAGTGTTCCCCAGGGAGCAGCTGCCATCCTTTCAGAGTTACTTGGGGGTGAGGCCCCACGGGCACAGGAAACAGCTATTTACCAACAGCGCCACACCCAGTGGAGGGCCCTTGGCTTCAGGGTGAGGGGAAGGAGACAGGTTAACAGGGCCACCGAGGCTGGAACACATTCTAAGAGGGACCTCTTCTAACACAGTGACTGTTTGAGACAACCTAACCTTCCAACACGGAGCACCATGCACTGCCCAGGCTGTGGGCTGCTAAGCTGAGGGAGGGTGGGCATTGGGGTGATACAAATCCAGCAGGGAAGAAATACAACAAATACAGGAGAGGCCTAACAGGACCACAGAGGCCGGCAGAGCGGGGGAACACCTGGTATAGACGGTGGAGACTGCGAGGCACTAAGCACTCTGGCTACCTTCACACTCTCTCCCGGTGATTGGAGCCGCTGTTCACAGCTCACTCCACCTCCAGCACCGGGCACCACAGGGCACGTACTGTCTCATCCAGCTGGCCCCGACATAGGCTAAGCATACCAGGAATTTGGCAATAGAAACAAACGAGCCCCAAGCTAGGTTTTCTGAAGAGACAGCCCAGCTCTTTAGGACTCAGTGTGAACAGACGTGCTCAGCAGTGCCAGGTCCCCACACGCCTCCATCTTTTTTTTTTTTTTTTTTGGAAAGTTATAGACAGAGAGGGAGAAAGGTCTTCCTTCCGTTGGTTCACTCCCCAAATGGCCGCCACGGCCGGCGCCGTGTACCAGCCACTGGGAACAGTGTCAAGCAGCCCTCTGCCAGTTCCTCCCAGTACTGCCGTCTCCTCTGGCAGGGGCGCAGCTACCTCAGGTGGTGGCTGGTGGAAACCAGTGTGCAACCTCTACGGCTGTCAGGGCTGGAGATGAGGGCGGGCCAGTGCGCCAGCATCCAAGACCTGCCCCCTGGCGGCTGCGCTCAACACCGCCACCCCTGGCGAGGAGCAAGGCCAGGGCTGCAGGGAGCACCAGGATGCATAGGCACGGGATCCGGGTTCAGCATCCGAGAGTGCTCCCCCTGCCTCGGCCCCCTACCGGAAGGTGGCAGAGGGGAGGGCACCTGTTGCTGATTTTCGCCAGCTGCTACTTTTGAGGGGTCTACCTGGGAAATGTTTCCTTCTGATGGCAACTAGAAAACATGCAACGCGCCCACCAAATTCTAAGCAGCTGAGTCACGGAGACTCTCGAGTGCAGTCCGGGCACCACCAGGTCCCACGGGCTATGTATGGGCAAGCACCCAGCTCACTACCATGGGCGAGTCTGAGTGGCTCCCACGGCGGGAGGGGACCAGCAGCACTGAAGGATTCCCACCAGGCAGAGCAGGCTGACTCTGGTACTGGAAATGCCGTTTTCAGAATTAGCAAAGTATTTCTCACTCTGCAAATGTTTTGGGGCCAGGATTACTAACTGATCCTACTGCCCACAATGTGACCCCTTCACCTGCACTGAGTAAATGTTTCCAGTGACCAGGGGTGTTGGCATTTCTTCCAGAGAAGTGCTCTCAAGAAAAGACCCACCACCACCACTACCACCACCACCAGAACCACAGCCAGGCAGCTCTGGGAGGTGCCGTGACTCGGCCTGCGACTGGCACTGGGAGAGCGCTGCATCCCCTGGGTACCGAGGCAGAGTGAGCTGCTGGCCGCTGACCCTCAGTGCTGGGTCAGCAAGCCCTGAGTGTAAGTGGCAGCACCGGTCCCGGCCCTGCTTGCAAGGTGCAGATTCTTGTGCCTCCAGACAAGCCTGAGCCACCGAGACGCCACAGGTCATTCATCTGGGCCCACTGCCTGCTCTCTGCACCCAGACCAGCGGCCTACCCGCTGGAGGCACCCTCAAGTCCAGTGGGCGTAACTCCTGATTACTGACAGGGAGCAGGGCTCAGACTCTCACAGTGACAGATGATGTAAGGAAGAAGCAGAGTCTCACAGGTGGCGGGGGGACCTCAGAGTGCCGGGCGGCTGGCGGCGGGGCTGCAGCAAGGAAACAGCACTTACCTGGCTTTGACCTTGCTGGCTCAGCTGTCTAACTCCGGCGCAAACCCCCTGCTCTCTCCTTGCTGGCTCAGCCGTCTAACTCCGGCGCAAACCCCCTGCTCTCCTCAGGACCCTTCCTCCGCCGTGAACCGACCTGACCGAGGTGTGGCGGGAGCCAGCGCCGACTCCTGCTTCCAAGGCCCACCCTGGCCCAGCCCCTTCACCCCGCCCCGCCAGGGGAACCACTCCAGCCAGTGTCTCGGGACAGCACGTGGAAAGGGCTCCCTGCCTTTTATTTGTTTTCGTGTTATAATCCGGATCTAGCCTCCGCTTCCAACACGTCTTTGCCACATCTGGACGTGAGAGCAAGGGCTGGTCTTTAGGGCCAGACTCCCGCTGCACTTGGACAGGATGACGGCCTGTCCCGTTCCTCTGCACTTCTCTCCAGCAGGTGCCTGACCCAGCGTCTTCCCTTCTGCTCTACACAATGAAAATACAGACTGAGTGAGAACAGGAAAAACTAAAGCATTGAATTGTACAAATTACAAATCTGTTCCAAAATATACTTACATTAAATAAAATACGCATTTCAGAAAGAGCTACAGGGAGGGGCTGTGCTCTGGGGGGCCAGCATCCGAGGAAGACGCCAAGAGGGTGTGATCCAGTCACAGTCTGTGGCGGGTCCTCACTGCCCATCTGCAGTTAGCTGCCCGCACCGCTAGCATCGTTACATCCCTCGTGCAGGAAGCCCACTCTGGGGAGAGGGTAAGCAAGCTCTAGCCTCAGCTTTGAGTTCGGGACAACTTCTCACTTCACCGACAGCCCACACAGTGCAGTGTCAGCAAAGTAAACCTGGCAAGGCAAGCAGACAACCCTTTAGAAGCCCAAACACATTTCTTGCTGTATTTATGTTGGATTCTCCATCTACAATGGGCAGTCATGAAGATGGTCTTCTCAGGACCACATAGCCACAGGACGGGGGCAGTCCAGGGGGCCTGAGAGGGAGTGTGAGGACGGGGGAGGGGCGGCTGGCGGCTTTACGTCAGAATCAAACTGCACGGCTGTAGCACGCGGCCCTTCATCATCTGGCGTAGCGCTTGATGTAGTCGTCCACTTTATTCCGGAAGTCCTCCTGTGCAGGGAGAGTGAGCGGGTGAAGTGAAGCTTCAGGGACGGCCCAGAGCCACCAAAGCAGAGGCCCATGTACAGGCCTGGCCTCTGCCACCAGGCAGCAGAGTGACCAGAGACTGGCTGAGTCAGCACGCTTCCCCATGACGCTGCTGCCTCCTGTGTGGGAGACTGTGCTGGGGGGGGGGGCACACAGGAGGGGGCCTAGGAGAGCACCCCCACCGCCCCCTCTCTGCAGGTGGGGGAGGGAAGGCCAGAGTGTGGGCAGGGTTATAGCCAGGACGCTCCTGCACACCAGGTCTGAGCCACAGCTGCTCTGGGGAAGAGGCTGCTCCCTGGATCTCTTCCCAGAACCACCCTGGACCTTGCTGCACACGTAGAATGTGCCCACCCCTCCTGGCCCAGGTGCAGCCCCCCAACCCCCAAGGCAGCCACACTGAGCAGAGGTGGTGGCATGTTACAGGCCCCATTCCTAGCCATCAGGAAGCCTCCGATGACAAGAGGCCGTGTGGACCTAGGAACTACCCGGGCCACAGTGGGCGGGAAAGGCCTCTCAGAGCTGGGCACTGCCCCGCATCTGCCCTGGGTCCCTTCTCCCCGAGGTTAGGAGCCGTGTTCTGTGGGACTGAGCACCGAGCCCTCCTGCTCCTAGAGCGCAGCCGTCAGGTCCCCGACGTCCCCGCAGCAGCACACTGCTCTGGCCCCATCCAGGCCACGCAGGAAACAGGCCCAGGGCCTCAGTCCTCAGCGGGCACACTTCCCTCCTTCAGCAAAGCTCTCAGGCCCGGGCCCAGCCACCCGCCCGTCCCCACAGGGGCAGCCTGCAGGAGCAGAGGCATGTGGAGAGAGGAGGGCCTGCTGGGAGGGGCAGGGCAGGGCAGGGGCTGGGTGAGTGCTACTCCTTCTCCTGAGTGCCTGGGCTCTGAACAAGGTCAAGGAATCATTACCTGTCCTAAATCCTCATACTGAATTCTACCTGAAAGTCTCAGCTAGGAAGAGCCTCTTCTCTCTGACCTTGGGTGAAACACTTCCCTAAGGGCACACACATTTACCCCAACACGCTATTCATGAATCGCTTCAGGTCCCGGGCCTGCGCCCACATTCCTCCAACCCGGCACAGCCACCGTCGGCCTGGGCTCGCCCGGCTCACCTTGTCCCGCAGATGATGCTCTGCTGCTTCGATATTCAGCGGATCGTCAAAGTTCAGAAGGTCCTGAAGAGAGAAACCACAGGTGAGCGGGGGGGTCTGGCTCTCTGCACTCAGTGGGGCCCCCCCGGGAACGCGGGCTCTTTGGCGCTCTCCCCAGAATGCTGACTGAAAAAGTCAGGGATATGTTTGCACAGAATTGTCTAAAGTTTGGTTAAAAGAGAAGAAACAGCAACCACATTTATTTCTGATTTTCATTTATTTATTTTTTATTTGAAAGGCAGAGAGACAGCGACCTCCATCTGCTGGTTCATTCTCCAAAATGCCTGCAACAGCCAGGTTGGGCCATGCTGAATCCAGGGGCCAGGAGCGCAGCCCAACCTCCCACATGTAAGCAGGCGCTGCAATTGAAAGCTACTGGGACTTGAACCCAGGCATTCCCATAGGATGCGGGTGTCCCAAGCAACATCTTAATTGGTGCCAGGGGCCGGTGGTATCGCACAGTAGGGCCTCTGCCTGTGGCTCCAGCATCGCATATGGGCAACGGTTCGTACCCCAAGTGCTCCTCTTCCAATCCAGCTCTCTGCTTATAGCCTTGGGATGGCCCAAGCAGAAACTCCTGGCTCCTGGCTTCAGATGGGCCCAGCTCCGGCCGCTGCAGCCATTTAGGGAATGAACCAATGGATGAAAGACCTTTCTCTCTGACTGCCTGTCTGTCTGTAACTCTGCCTCTCAAGTAAATAAATAAAAAAAACTTTAAAAAAATGGTGTCAAATACCTACCAAAATAATGCTATTTTTGGTCACTGGAGAACAACCATTCTCTTTATGAGCATTTCCAAATTAAAAATCCTGTTCTTTTTTATAAAATTTCATTTCCTTCTAGCTTACTGATGGCTTTGCCTCCAGGAGTCGTGGCTGCTGACCTTCCCTGGGCTTGCTGTGTCCTGTGGCCACCTCATGAGCTCCCTGATCAGCCCAGCAGAGACAACCATGCACGCTGGCCCGGGAGGGGCAGACTCTCCACCTGACAAGCCCTGGCCTGACCACGCCGCTCTCCCAGGACTGTGCATTCCTCTTCAGCGAGAGCTGTTAGGAGGAGCCACAGCTTCCAAAGCTTCCCCTTTGACGGATCATTACACAGACAGCTGTATTTCTCTTCAGGCATTAGGCATACCTGGGGAGTGTACTCCTGATTTGGAAATAAATGCAGCCATGACCAATAATGCATCGTAAGTACAGCAAACTGCAGATCCCTAGGCTCGCTCACACTCGAGGCTTCCCAGAGAGCCGAGAAACAGGCAAGAACGTGAAGGACCACGGGAGACAGCCAGCGTGGGAGACTGCTTTGGGGTCACCCTGTCCACCGTGTGTGGCCTGAGATGGAGCGAGTGCTGGGATAACCACCACAAGCCTGCGCCGCAGAACTGGGGAGGCTCAGCCACGCGTGGGTGGGGAGCACGGGGGCTGCACCCGCTTCCTCCAGGAGGTGCTCCAGGGAGCCAATGTCTACTTCCATGAACTCCCGCGGACCAAGCTGCCAGTCAAAACCTTTTCCTGGCTGAGGGCCCTGGGGCAGAGAGGACCCGGTGAGTGGCAGAGGACGGCGACGCAGCGGCCCTGTCGGGGTCTGTGTTAGCTCCTGCCCAGCATGACAGAGTTTAAGTAGAACTTTGTTCACTCCAATGAAAAGCCAAAATGGAGCCACAGTAAGATGACGTGACCAGCAGAGAACCGTCCGGAAGACTCCATCGGCGTGAGCCTTCAGAGTCCGGAGACCCTGACTCACCCAGGCGTGCGAGTGTCTACTCAGTGACGCCCGATGAGAAGGCGAGAGCAGAGAGGGGCTGGCAGCTTAGTCTGGGGCTTTGTTGTTTTTACTTTGCTGAAGACAATAGCAACACTGTGCCTTCAGACACCCGCTGAGGCGGAGCCAACCCACCGGTCGTGCAGGCACATCTGCTGGGGTGCACCCAGCAACCCACAGCCCCGGCCAAGGCGGCCGCCCTGAAACGGCCTGGTCGCCCTGTAAGGTGCTGGCCCGTTCAAGACGGGCTCAGTTTCATGGAAGGACCTTAGGTTTTACCAAAGTGGCAAAAACTTTTTTGCCTCCCAGGCAGGGCCCTAAAACTTTTTAAAAGCTCTATTATGAACGACAGCGTGAAGACTCAAAGAGCAAATAACAGTGTGAAGAAACCCAAGGAACCGCTGTCGTGGGGTCGCGCGGGCTTCTTGCCCTGGAGCCCCTGCCTGAGAAGCGCTGTGTCCTGGAAGGGCAACCGGCAGCCGCGCCGGCGGACGCTGGGCTCATGGCCGGCAACGCCAAGGTTCTGGGTTTGCGGAAAGCCTTGAGGCTGGATGGTCACATAATCACCCAGCCAGACCAGGACAACCTGGAACAACCAGTGCCACCAACTAGGCTGGCTGGTGAGACACAGGAACGGGGCACAGGCCAGGCCACTGGCTACTCACTGAAGAGGCTAACGCAGTGGAACCGCCTTTCCCGGAGGGGCAGGCAGCCACTCCACCGGCTCTGCCCCGCACTCCCAACCCCTCCCCACATGCTGCTCCGAGGCCCTCAGCCGCTGGGCCCCGCCCTACTGCTGGCTCGTAAACAGTGACAGCCAAGAGGGGAACTGTGCGCTCTGTTTTCAAACTCCGCTTAAGGTGATGCTTAAACCTGCAGCCAAGACGCAAAGGACACCTGGGAGTCTGGTCAGTATACTTACAGTAAATAAAGAGTTTAATCCCCAGACAACATCCTGAAATGAGAAAGAAAACAGAAACACCTCAGGCTCCCGTCCACACGGAGCCTTGTAAACCCACGACCAAGAGAGGCATCGAGCTGGATGTCGACACCTGTCCGCAGCACACGCTGTTTCTCTAGACAGGAAGCGGGGACGCTGCTTAGTGCAATCACAGGCTTGGGAATGCGAGCGAGGAGCAGTGACAGGCGTGCGCGTAGGACTGAGGAGACCAGCTGCCCCCAGTCCATGCCAGGGCCACTCGCCGCACAGGCCAGCGAGGGCACAGCGCTCCACCTGTCACCTGTGCAGCACCCCGGAGCGCCCACTCACGGTCTTTAACACTGCAAGTACGCTCATCACCACGGCTCCACTGAGGCTTTATGTAGTGCTGCTGTAGTTACTCAAGAGTGAAGCACGAGATTTTCAAGAAATGAACTCCAGAACCAGCGTTCTGACCACACTGACCCAGCAGCTGCGACCCAGAGTCTTCCCCCCGACTCGGCATCCACCCAAGACTCTCCCTACAGGGCTGGTTCTCATATCATTCCACGCTCTCTGCCAGTTGGCAATTCTACTCACCCCTCTGCTTCCATCCACCCACCCATCCATCCGTCCGTCCACCCACCCATCCATCCATCCGTCCATCCACCCACCCATCCATCCGTCCACCCACCCATCCATCCACCCCCCACCCATCCATCCGCCCATCCATCCGTCCATCCACCCACCCATCCATCCGTCCATCCGTCCGTCCATCCATCCATCCGTCCACCCATCCATCATCCATCTGTCCACCCATCCATCATCCATCTATACCCATCCATCCATCCACCCATCCATCCATCATCCATCTATCCGTCCATCTATACCCACCCACCCATCCACCCCCCACCCCTCACCCCCCTAACCCTGGTGTGAGCCGAGCCCAGGGCCAGAGCTGGGGTGAAGATGAGTGCCTGGTGATGCACGTCCATGAGACGCGTCCCCATGGAGCACCCACCAGGGGGCAGAGGCTCCAGAGGGGAAGTGGCAGCTGTGTGAGTGGGGCTGCAGGGAGGTGGCTCCCAAGTGGAAGGACGGGGGAGATGCTGGGGAGCAGGCCAGGCCCGAGGCCCATGGGCACAGACCACGGCTCAGGAGGACCGCGGTCACACTGTATGAAGTCTCTTCCTGTGCTGCCCCAGCATGGCTCCTTGTGACGGATACTCAACACCTGACCGTCCTTGTGGGCCCAGGGCGTGGCTGCATGCCAGTGTGCAGCTCTCTCTCCAATGCCTGCTGGCCAGAAGGGTTCAAGACATCACTGTTGAACAAAGACCAGGAGGCTTCCCGTGTTGGCTGAAGATGCAGCTCTGAATCCTACAGTTTGGGCCCGTCTGTGGTTCTGGACAGGTGCCTGGTGATGACGGACAAGGACACTCACCCAGCCACAACGGATAGGGTCTCAGCTTGGCCCAGCAGCACTAGGAAGTGAGTGGTGGTGACCAGAGGGAGCAGGGAGCCCTGGGCCACCCATGCGAATGCCACAGGCAAGGCCTTGTGCCGTTCTTACGTGGGGCAGGTGCTCAAGGGAGAGGCCTGAGGGGAAGACTTAGAACCCACAGGGGCTGACCCTACCTTTAATGTCCTTGTGGGAGCCCAGCCCGTGCCGTCAATCGAATGTTCTCTCAGTAAACTGCAACAGATACAAACACGCTGTCAGCATCACAGGTGCACTGTAGGCCACAGCTGCCGACAAGTGCTCACGGTGTGTGTGACCTTCCCCATGACCTACAGGAGACCACAGCTCACGGTGTGTGTGTCGCCTTCCCCGTGACCTACAGGAGACCACAGCTCACGGTGTGTGTGTCGCCTTCCCCGTGACCTACAGGAGACCACAGCTCACGGTGTGTGTCGCCTTCCCCGTGACCTACAGGGGAGCCACCTTCTCTGTCCCTCCCTGGCTCGCTGAGTGGCAAGGCCTCCTCCACCCCAAGCTTGCACACACACTCAGTGATGACCGTTACCGTCCTGCACATGGAAGCTTTATGCGGGGGAACACGCTTCAAACAACACACGGAGCTTCTGTCAATCAAACATGCGGGAAATGACAACTGCAGCCAACGTGATGCGGGAACTGAGGCCTAGTGCTCACCATGTGTGTGCGGGCACAATCCCGTCTGTCACTAACGCCCACAACCAGCCATGGGGGAGGCGCCCCCATTTCCTGTCTGGCAGGGGAGGCGTGCCCGGGGCACAGCCCTGGAGAGCCACAAGTCCTTCAAGCCTGGGCAGCTGACCCAGAACCTGGGACTTGACGAGGATGACACCAATGTGAAGTCCTAGCAGGTGACAGTTTTTAAAAACTCAACGTCAGGAGAAAAGCTGATTAGTGCGGAATTCCGGACAGCCACCCCCCTCGAGGGGAGGACCACACTCAGGGCAGCGCATCCGGCTTCAGGGATGTGGTGAGGGCCTACGTCTTAGGCTGGTGCCCGAATCACTCTTGTTACTGTTCTGTCAACTGTAAGTGCACATTATACTACTCATAAATGATTACTGTGAGTATTGGGTTTTAGTGGCCATCGTAATTGTTAACTGTGACAAACCTTTTCTTTTCTTTCTTTTTTTTGGACAGGCAGAGCTAGACAGTGAGAGGAGACAGAGAGAAAAGTCCTCCTTCCATTGGTTCACCCCCCAAATGGCTGCTATGGCCAGTGCGCTGTACTGATCTGAAGCCAGGAGCCAGGTGCTTCTCCTGGTCTCCCATGGGGTGCAGGGCCCAAGCACTTGGGCCATCCTCCACTGCACTCCCGGGCCACAGCAGAGAGCTGGACTGAAAGAGGAGCAACTGGGACAGAACCGGCACCCCTACCAGGACTAGAATCCGAGGTGCTGGCGCCACAGGTGGAGGACTAGCCTAGTGAGCTGCGGCGCCGGCCCAGATTTCCCCCTTTATCAATCACTTGGAGCTGACGCTCACTTTTCCAAAGGAAGTGTTCATCTTTTCCATGACAGCTGCTACGTACTATTTATAGACCAAGAATATTCACTTCATTGATCCTTTCTCCTCCAAGTTTGTGTGTCTGTGTTTTTACTTTTCAATAGGGCCTAGCCCGACATTTTCCAGCTACTGCGCTAATTCTTGCCACACCTCGCTAATAGTCTGACTGCAAAGACAGCAAGGTGACAAGAGGAATTCCCACTCCAGGCCTACTTCCGCCTGAGGCAGGGGAAGGAAGCAGAGGGAGGTGAGTGGCCCGGGGCAGCACTGGGCAGCACTGGGCAGGGCTTGGAGGGTGCTGGTCATGGCCTGCAAGTGAAGATGGGGTGTTCTGACATCAGCACTGAGGGTGCCTCTAAACAGGGGGCAGGTATTTAGCCAGCGCTGCCGGTGGGCCCATAGCCCACACTGAGTGTGAGGGTTTAGTTCCCAGCTCTGCTCCCAGCTCTGCTTCCCGCTAACGCAGACCCCAGGAGGCAGCAGGTGATGGCACAGGTGGCTGGGCCCCTGCCAGCTCTGTGGGAGCCCTGGATCGAGTTCTCAGTCCCCAGTGCAGCCCAGCCTGGACCCCCCCCCCCCCCCAGGACCTCTGACTAGCGCACCAGCAAATGGGAGCTCTGTATCTCTCAGATAAAAAAGTTTCAGAAGATTACCTGCATGAAACATTTTGACTTTGAAAAATGAGGGTGATGTGACAGCAGCAGCATAAATAAAACACACAGATGGACACTAATACATTGTAAAAGGGGTCCTAATGTAAGACTTAGACATGTTAAGATTTGCTTATTTTTTTGAAAGGCAGAGTGATAGAGAGGGAAAGACGGAGACAGAGAGAGATTCTGTCTATTGGTTCACTTTCTAAATGGCTACAATAGCCCAGTCTGGGCCAGGCCAAAGTCAAGAACCAGAAACCACATCCTGGTCTCCCACGAGGGGGACACCTGAGCCATCCTCTGCTGCCTTTCCAGGTGCATCAGTTCAGGGCTGACCAGCAGGCAGCTCCAACAGGCAGACATGGACACCAGCAGGAGGCTCCAACAGGCAGACATGGACACCAGCAGGAGGCTCCAACAGGCAGACATGGACACCAGCAGGAGGCTCCAACAGGCAGACATGGACACCAGCAGGAGGCTCCAACAGGCAGACATGGACCCAGCAGGAGGCTCCAACAGGCAGACATGGACACCAGCAGGAGGCTCCAACAGGCAGACATGGACACCAGCAGGAGGCTCCAACAGGCAGACATGGACACCAGCAGGAGGCTCCAACAGGCACTGATGTGGGTACCAGCAGCTCTAACAGGCAGTGACATGGACACCAGCAGCTCCAACAGGCACTGACATGGGTACCAGCAGCTCTAACAGGCACTGACATGAACACCGGCAGCTCTAACAGGCAGTGACATGGACACCGGCAGCTCCAACAGGCACTGATGTGGGTACCAGCAGCTCTAACAGGCAGTGACATGGACACCAGCAGCTCCAACAGGCAGTGACATGGACACCAGCAGCTCTAACAGGCACTGACATGAACACCAGCAGCTCTAACAGGCACTGACATGAACACCAGCAGCTCTAACAGGCACTGACATGAACACCGGCAGCTCTAACAGGCAGTGACATGAACACCGGCAGCTCCAACAGGCACTGACATGGGTACCAGCAGCTCTAACAGGCACTGACATGGACACCAGCAGCTCTAACAGGCACTAACATGGGTACCAGCAGCACCTGTAACAGGCACTGACATGGACACCAGCAGCTCCAACAGGCAGTGACATGGGTACCAGCAGCTCTAACAGGCAGTGACGTGGGTACCAGCAGCTCTAACAGGCAGTGACGTGGACACCAGCAGCTCTAACAGGCAGTGACGTGGACACCAGCAGCACCTCTAACAGGCACTGACATGGACACTGGCATCACAAGTGGTGCCAACACTGGCTCCTGACGTGACTCTGCAGTGTGGGTGGCCACAGCTTGTGTGTTTCCTACACACAGAACAGGGTTTCCAAGAGGAGACGAGACACAGAACACACAGAGTCCGAGCCTGAGACCTGCCCGAGGTCCCAGTGTCCCAGGGTGACAGGAACAGAATGTGCTAAGGGAGCACAGGCGCCTACTTCCCAGGCTTGTCTGAGCGCGGGACCTGCAGTGGGAAGCAACCTGCCCCAGTCCCACGGAGGCCTGCAACCAACATCATCACCTTCGGAGAGAAGGGGCGAGACCAAGCCATACAGCACGTGCCGATTTCCTTACTTAGCAAACACACCCATGCATCCTCTCAGGCCTCTGCGCCAGCGGCTGTAGAGCAGCAGCCACCGGCCCCTGCATCCTGCGACTGGAGGGGGACACAGCCACACAAGGCTCCAGGGACCTGCCTCGCCCCACAGTGCTCCCACACACCAAGACCGTGCCGGGTGGAGAGCACGCCTTCCACACGCATGGCCCCAGTGTGCACGAGCCTGGCATCTACGTCTGCCCTCACGGGTTCATTCATCTTGTTCTCCCCTCTCCGCTACAGTCAGCCAGCTGGAGGGCAGCTGACTGAACCAGGAAAGGAGAAGGGGACAGTGCCCGCAGGTCCGTCCCGGTGGGCAGTGGGTGACTGGGAACCGGCAGGACCCTGGCACGCAGGCGGCAGAGGGTGCTCTTCGTCCGGGGCAGCACAGGGAGGCTTAGGGAGCAGCAGGGCGACGGCGGCTTAGCTCAGCCCAAACCCTCCCTCGCGCTGGGCACATCGCACAGCGTTCTCGCGGGGGAGCCAGCACACCGAAACGCCCACGCTCACACACGCAGGGACACTCACCTTAGACAGATCTCCCCTGTCTCTGTGATGTTAGGGTGCCACATCCTAGTCAAGCATCTCACTCGGGGAGGCTGCGACAGACAGAGAGAGTCATGACAACAGCGTCTGTGGGCCACACCAATCCACAGCCTTCCCGTGCCCCGTCTGGTCTCGGTTTTGTGGTGTGTGACTCACCTGGCACGTGCTCCACCCTGAACACTGCTCCCATCGGCTACTCAGCCACACAAGTTTGTGTGTGCACACCACAGCGCCACTGCTCCTCTTACTGGGAATGTCCGCCCACGAGCCCAACCTCAGGTCCTATAGTCAACGGTGCCTGGACCCAGCCTCTGCCCCGTCCCCAGCGCATCCTCCAGGCCCCAAACTCCAGCCCACAGGCAGCTCTGTGCACTAAGGCGGCTGTGAGCTCCCACCCTCGGCTGGATGCTCGGAGGACGCTGCTGTCAGACACTGTCTTACAGGATGGAGAGAGGGTGAACACCAGCACACGGGCAAATATGTGACATTATCTATGCTTGGCTCGTCCAAAGTTGAAGTCCTTTTAATATCTATTATAAAAGCAATCCATATTTAGGAAGAGACAACAAAAATGAAAGGAAATATACATTGTGTATATTAATAAATATGAAAAGCTTATGTTTTTATAAATTTGTGCTTACGTCCCTTTCATTTTTATTGACTTTTATGTATGTAAACACCCCTGTAACTCACCCAGAAGCCGTCTCTCTCGACACCTGATACACGTTTTCTGAGCCTGTTTCCTGGGTTCTATGGATATTCATTTCTTTATAGAAGCAGGAGAACATACTCCACATTTTTTCTTATTTATTTCTGCAACTGTCTCAAAAGGCTTCTCTGTACAACTAACAGTCATTCCACCACTGACCACTCCCACGGCTGGACACTGGGCACCAGCACCGGCACTGCGGTCACTCCCGCGGCTGGACACTGGGCACCAACACCGGCACTGCGGTCACTCCCACGGCTGGACACTGGGCACCAACACCGGCACTGCGTCACTCCCACGGCTGGACACTGGGCACCAGCACCGGCACTGCGTCACTCCCGCGGCTGGACACTGGGCACCAACACCGGCACTGCGGTCACTCCCACGGCTGGACACTGGGCACCAACACCGGCACTGCGTCACTCCCACGGCTGGACACTGGGCACCAACACCGGCACTGTGGTCACTCCCACAGCTGGACACTGGGCACCAACACCGGCACTGTGGCCACTCCCAAGGCTGGACACTGGGCACCAGCACCGGCACTGCGGTCACTCCCACGGCTGGACACTGGGCACCAACACCAGCACTGCGGTCACTCCCACGGCTGGACACTGGGCACCAGCACCGGCACTGTGGCCACTCCCACGGCTGGACGCTGGGCACCAACACTGGCACTACAGTTACTCCCACTGCTGGACACTGGGCACCAATACCGGCACTGTGGTCACTCCCACTGCTGGACACTGGGCACCAACACTGGCACTGCGGTCACTCCCACGGCTGGACACTGGGCACCAATACCAGCACTAATAGCTACTTCCACGGCTGGACACTGGGCACCAACACCGGCATAGATGGCCACTCCCACTGATGTTTTCTGAGATGTGGAAGTTTTTTTTAACTTTATGAAATTTAATGAAATCTTTTTTTTGAAATCATACTTAGAAACATTTTACCATCCAAATACTCCCTGTCCTTTTTCTACTACTCTTACAGTTTCATGTTTTGATTTTTCAACACTCCTGATTTCACAATACCACAAAGTGGACACAGGCCACCATGTGGAAGAACACGCAGAGATGGCTGGCTTGGGGCATGAAGCCTTGCTCTAAGCATTTTCCAAAATGAAACACACACACATATACATACATGCACACACATCCATACACAGACACACATACATAGACACACATACATGGAGAGACCCATACATACACATATACATACATGCACACACATAGACATGCACAACACACACATATGCACACACATACATACACAACACATACACACATATACACATTTACGCACATACATACATATATACATATATGCACACACATACACAAAGACACACATATACAGACACCCACATACACATACATACACAATACACACACATACAGAGACATACACACACATATACACACATACACACATGATTTGACTACAGTAGTGAAACAAACAAAAAAAACAAACATTTACAGAGCAATAACAAAAGAAGACAATCCCAAAATGAGGAAAATATTTATAGCATAGCTAAGAAAACCAAGGAAAAATTTCTTTTTTTGTTAACTAATTAATTAATTTTTAAGGGAAACTCTTTTATAAGAACCCTTATAAATACTGTGGTGGAAAAATGGGCCAAGGACAGAACAGTGGCTCATGAAAGTGTAAACAGCTGAAGCAGGGAATGTCTCCACCGTCACTTACTCGGGAAATGAAATTTCCAAAGCACCCGAGACGCAGCGTCCTCCAGGCCAGCGCCCAGGGCGGTGTCCCAGGCTCCCCTCCGCTGTCCCGTCACTACGTCACCACGCTGGCTGGAGGTTTCGGTGGCTGGGCGACTTCTCGTCTCTAGCCCCACAGTCTGACACAGGCCGACATGCTACAGCTCACTGAATGTCACCACATCAGCTCAGCCAGTTTCTACACTGAGATGTCTAAGCAGGTCTTTCGGGCGTGCACTTGGGGTGGGGGACACCTCCGTCACTGATGAGACGCTTCGGGGCAGGCGTCCAGCCCAGCAGTCCACAGGCCCACGTCCTGTACTGGAGCACTGCTTCCTGCCGACGCAGACCCTGGGAGGCAGCAGGGACGGCTCAGGGGACTGGGATGCTGCCACACACAGGAGACACCTGCATTGTGTTTATGGCTCCCTGCCCTGGCCCAGCCACGTCCCAGCCACTGAAGGCATCTGGGGGAGGACCAGCGGAGGGGAGCACCTCGCTCTCTCTGCCTTGTAAAGAAATTAACTAAAAGATCTGCCAGCGCTGACGAAATCCTTGTGCTGTGCAGGAGTCCCATCAGCAAGGTGCTGGCTCGGACGCCAGCGAGTCCTGAGGGCCTTTGTGAAGCCGCGGGCTCGTGGCCGACACTGGCTGCGCCTCCTCACGAGAGAAACATGGACCCTCAGCGCCTGCTCTCGTGGTCTCTGCAGCCTGTGTGTGCGCAGACGCCGGTTTCACTCCTCATCTCTGTCCTGCACTACCAAGAGTCACGCACTGGAAACAGCCCCGGACTCTCACAGGGCTCCGCTGCGGGGACTTCTAGACGCGAAGTCACGACCACAGGGAAGCCAGACGGCTTGTGTTCAGTGAGCGTGACGTCCTGCAGTCTCCTGGAGACGCTGCTGCAGGCCACAGCGAGGCCCACTGCCCTCTCTGGACTCGTGGGCTGACACGTACAGCTTCACCTCCAGGGAAACCTGACCAGTCTCCAAAGAAGACAGAAACCAAAGTACAAACTGCTGATCACGGCAGCCAAGCTAAATGTCAAACACAAGAATACAGGAGGGCTGCAGGGACCACATGGTTCTGTTTGTCCACGGGAACGGGGGGAAGAGGGGCAGAGGTGGAAAGTCCCACGAGAGGGGACACTGAGATGACCGGCCTGTGTGGCGGCCACTGCTTCACAGAGAAGGGAGCCCGAGGCTCAGTGGCCGCCACCTGGTGTTCACCATTTCCCTCCACGCCACTGCTCAGTAAGGCGCCAGGGCCGACGGACACACGGACAGCAGGACACACACGTCTGCAAGCTGGGCAGCCCTGGGCACGAGCTGGCTTCAGCAATCAGCCGGCCACAGCACCAGAGCCAGTCAGGTACGTTGTGGAGGAAAGAGGTGAGGGACAGGTATGGGATACGGATACTGAGATCAGCCACCGAGCGAGCAGAAAAACGAAGCAAGACGAAGCGAGTGAAGACGCCGAGCCACACAAGTCCACCCACGCAGCCCTTCCTGCCGTGCTAAGAGCTCCTGTGTCGCTTCTTCCTCTCCTGAGAACTCTGCTGCTCGACGCCCTCCATACCGCAGCGAGGGTCCCGGCGTCCCGGGGCGTGTCTGGGGGCCGTCGCTCGCGCGACTCTCCTCCCTCAGCAGACCGGCCAACCTTTGACGTAACACTCCCACTTCCTGTGCGGGGAGTCTGGAATCCTAAACATCAACGCCGTCTCTGCACGGAACCCACGCGCTCACGCTCTCCCGGGGCAGCACAGGGCCTTCTGGGCAAGTCCTGGCAGCAGCTGCAGACACATGCACGAAGACTGAGCTACCTGCTTTCTCGTCTTTGCTCAAGTGTCCAGTGTCGTTATCTTGGGTCAGCAGCTCTTCTCCGCCACATGACTGCATCTCAGGATGGGCTCGACGGCGCCAGCACAGCGCCGTGGCCGCCACGTAAGGAGACGCCACGTCTTACTGCACCCTGTCAGACTGCTCCTCGCCACTGCTGGGCTGAGTGGGCGAGAAAACACCAGATCTGCCACGCAAGTCACCGGCACAGCCCTGCTCCCTCACACAGGGGTCGTTCAGAATCTTCCGTGGTTTCTCACTGCCAAACAATGCCCGACAGAAGCCCAGTCCGAGTTTCTCACCTTCCCCCATTTTCCCCAAGCCCTAATCTTCAGTCGTCAGCCCGTCTGCCGCCACGGTCGCGGGCGCTCACTTCTGCACCCGAGCCCACAGCGCCACACGGTCCTGGCACCGGAGCCTGCGCCGGACCAGGACGACTCACGTTCAGCTTCTCCTGGGAAGCCGCACTGGCTGCGGTCACCTCCCCCAAGTGACCGTCTCCTCCCTGTCGAGGCGCCCACGTTCGTTCTCCATCACTTGTCAGTATCTGGGCTGCTTGCCACCCCACGTCACTGTACGGCACCCCCTACCTCTTCTCTAAGTTCCTCACAGGCAGAACGGATGTGACAGTATTTGCTATGATTATTAACTACAAGGGTCTCTGAAAGATGAACACAACACTACGCTGTTTATTATGAAATTCTAAAATATACACTTAACAGGCTTCTGGAATTTGGGCGTTAAATCATAAATCTACAGCCTTACACAGGCAG